TGTATGGCCTAAGGCAAGCCCCCCGTAATTGGTATGCCAAGTTGAGGAAACATTTGCTAAACATTGGTTTTGAAGGCTCGCTTGCCAATTATTCATTGTTTGTTATGAGAAGGGAAGAATTTATTGTCTATGTCTTAGTGTATGTAGATGACATAATCGTTACTGGAGACGTGGCTTGTAAAGGGAAGAAGCGGTTACTTGGTGAGAAATTCTCCCTTAAAGACTTGGGGCAACTTAGTTTTTTCCTTGGCATTGAAGTTAAATATGTGGGAGATAATATATTTCTGAGTCAAAAGAAGTATATTATGGAGTTATTAGAAAAAGCACATATGAGCTATGATTCTCCTACACCCACACCAATGGTTTCATCTCTCAAGTTGTCCAAAGAAGTTGGTAGTGCTCTTGTTGATCCAAAGGAGTATCGTAGTCTTGTTGGATCACTACTGTATGCATGTCACACAAGGCCAAACATTGTGTACAGTGTCAATAAGCTTGCACAATTCATGCACCGTGTGAGCATCATCTGTCTTCTGTGAAATGAGTTCTTAGATACTTGAATGGAACTTTGGATTACGGGCTGGTTATATCTGGAAATGATACACCCTTTCAGCTGGTTGCCTTTGCTGATGCTAACTAGGGAGGTAATATGGACGACCGACATTCAATCTCGAGTAGTTGTGTTTATCTTGCTGGCAACTTGGTCATGTGGAATTCCAAGAAGCAGAAAATGGTTTCTAGGTCCACAACAGAAGTTGAGTATAGAAGCTTGGCTGATGTAGCCTCTGATGTTACATGGGTAAGTGTTCTACTGGACAACATGGGAGTTGAGCTTCAGGGAACACTGGTCATCTGGAGTGACAATTCTAGCGCTATAGCTATGAGCGCTAATTCGGTTTACCATTCAAAAACAAAACACATGGAGTTGGATGTGCACTTTGTTAGAGAAAAGATTGCAACAAACAAGTTAAAGATTAACTATGTTCCTTCTTCACATCAGGTAGCTAATGGCTTTACTAAAGCGTTGCAAAAGTCTATTTTCACTTGTTCAGACAGAAACTAGGGGTTGTATCATTAAAAGAAGTTTTGAAGGTGGAAGAAGCAGGGAGCATATTGGATGGATTATGAAGAGTTGATGCGCCAGCTCAGCAGGGTTAGTTAGTTTGTTGTAGGTTATAGCCGTTTGTAACAGATTTCTGTTAAGGCTATTGTGCAAAGCCTTTCTTGTATAAATAAGATGATAGTTCTCTTGTAAAAATCATGAGATTAATATACAGTTCTATATTCATTGTCTGTGTTAGTTTTCCGTTAAGTTTGGAATGATGGTTGTTATTGTTTTAATGAGATTTCAGGTGATCATCACCCCATCTTTTATTTTCTTGATCCATCATGTTGTACAAGCGTGCATCCTCTAACACATTCCACATAAAGCAAATCATTGCGATCTTCATTCATATTAAGGTAATTTCCATACTCTTCTTTCGGTAACATTTTTTACCTTTGTTATTTGAGCAGATTTAAAAATATGTAGTCTTTTTTTCCCAATCATTTTAAAAATATTAAAAAGCCACTAAAGTTGTTGACAAGTCTCATATAAATGCATTTATGGGCCTGGTTATGGCTTTTAGCAACTCTAATTGTTGCAGCTTATGCTAGACTGTTTATAAAATCCTGGTTGATAATATGGAATGCAGGGCATACCCAAGGCAATTCGAAAACTAAAATCGAAAGCCAACTTATTACTAGTGTCTCACCCCATGACAATCTAATCACCTTTTTTCTTCTTCTGCCTCACATATACTATGTCCCAAATGTTTACATATGGGGAGAGCAAAACTCAATTCAACTCGAAAAATCGAGTTTTTCGTCTCGACTCAACTCGAGAAAACTCGACCCGAATTAACTTCGAGTTATAATTTCATAAACTCGACTCAAAAAAAAATTCAAGTTCAAACCGAGTTGTAAAATACAACTCGAATAACTTGAAATTTTTAGTAATTAGTGGATTGATTTTCAAGTTTAAGTTGAGTCTCTCGACTCTGTATCATAAATGTATATCACTTATGAAAAAAACGAAGAAATACACATGTATTTATATGGTTATAAAAAATCATTTAAATTGGAATCAAATAATATTTTAATATTATATAATTAAATTTAAACATAAACTCGAAAAAATAACTCGACTCAAAAAATCATTTAAATTCGACTCTACTCGAAAAAATTTCAAGTCAATTCGAGTTGTAAAATAGGACCCGTCAACTAGAATAACTCGAAATTTTTTGACTCGACTCGACTCAATCAAACACTCACCCCTATTTACAAATATGAAATTTAGGTTCTCTTTGTCAAATGCCACCTCATGATATAAATTACTCATTAAACAATACATTTAAAAAAAAAAATCATAATTAACTCATTTTAGTATATAAAATAACTATTTTATTAGGCAATTTAACATCTTCATTTAAAATATTCAAACATAACACATAAAATTATAAAACTTTACAATTTAATTACATAAGTATTAACACATGAAAAAATTTAATTATTACATGATTTATAAAATATTTTTTATTGTTGAAAATTATTACAGCAAATCGACAAATTAGGATATGAGATAAGTAACTTGTGATACACACAATGTTGTATATTTCATCTTGAGAAAATTCTACAACGCTATTGATGAGCACTACTAAAGATGGAATTAATTTAATTTATAAAAATTTAAATTTTAAAAGACTCAACGTATAATTATAAATTAGTTAAAAAATTAAAGGTAAATTATTTAAAATAAAGGGTAAATTATACCACTGACACCTAATTATTGTCCATTTTCATTTTGACCATCATTTTTTAAATTTTATTAATTATGTCACTCAACTATTTAAATGTATTCAATTAAGCCACCTGCCGTTAATATTTAACAGAGAAACTAATGTGGTAGTTAAAATATTTGGTATAATTACACATTTGGTCACTATCAATTTGGTCCTAATTTTAATTTATTAAAATTAAATATTATATAAAATTATTAGATATATTTATAATTATATTTTTTATAAAATTATTTTGAGAATAAAGTATTGATTAGAGTATAAAAAAATTAAAGAATTGATTTTAGGATAGAATTTACAAAAAGAATTGCAGTAAAAATTGAAGTTGAATAAAATATTGGGTAAATTAGATATTTTGTCAACTAATTATTTGTGTGGTTCGTTTTAATCACCAAACTATTTGTTTTTTTTTCAAAATCATCACTAACATTGCGTTTTTGGTTTTGTTTTGATCAACAATCGTTAAAAAATTAACAGTGATGTTAACATGTCATCATAAGGTAATGATACATCATCATTGAAAAAAAAATGTCAAGTAAATAGTTCTTTTAGTTTTTAACAGTAGATGATCAAAATGAAATCAAAACCTAACATTAGTGAAGATTTTGAAAAACAAATAATTAGATAACCTAATAGAACCAAAGTGATGTTTAACTGATTAAATACATCATTAATCTTTTTTTAGTTGAGAAGCTTTCTTTACATGTGATAAGAAAAAAACTTTAAAAATTCTTATTAATTTGGAGTAAGTACAATATGATATATGTTATAAGATAACTCTCAACCATTTGACCGTATCCTAGAATCTAGAAAATTAAATTATTTATAATGATAACTTTTTTTATTATTATGTACTTCATTTTTTTTATTATCATAATTCATTGTTTTATGACGGTATAATTTCTAATAATTTTATAAAGTACATAATGGACATATTACATTAAAGTAAATATAAAAACTGTTGTTGAGTCAATATTTATATGTTGAAAGTTATAGTGCTTGAATTGATAACGACAAAGACGAGGTTGATGGCTAAATAATACTCCATGTATATATCATTATTATATATGGTAGAATAAAATCAATTCTTTATTTTATTTTATTTTAACTTTATTAAAATTAGGACCAAATTGATAGAATATATAAGTAATAGTGACCAAATGTGTAATTATACCAAATATTTTAACTGTTGCATGAGCTTCTTCATTAAATATTAACGAAAAGTGGTTTAATTGAATGCATTTAAATAGTTGAGTGACTTGATTGATACAATTTCGAAAATAATGGTCAAAATGAAAAGGGGCAATAGTTAGGTGGTCACTAGTATAGTTTACCTTTTATTTTAAATAATTTACTTTTTATTTTTTTAACTAATTTATAATTATACGTTGAGCCCTTTAGAACTTTAAATTTTATAAATTAAATTAATGTTGCCCATCATTAGTGGTGCTCGTTGAACGTAGAAGAATCATCATCCATCTCGTAATTGAAGAGGGGTGTATACAACACGCAAGAGAGAAGAGTTTTACAATAATTTGTTTAGAGTGAGAGTAAGAGGGGAGAGGTTCTCATTTTTAGCATGTTTAAAATAGAATTGAGGAACGAACCAAGCGATCGTGATAAAGAAATTTATTGTTATTCCTTGAGGTCGAGCATCAGGAATGTCAAAGATATAAGCATTTAATGTTAAATGATAGAGAATATATATATATATATATATATATATATATATATATATATATATATATATATATATATATATATATTAATTTCTGTGCACAATTAAGTTCAACATCTCAATTCGGCTATTACAAGCTCAATCATATACAATGAGTTATAATAAGATTCTCATAATCTTTCTAAAGAATATAAGGTTGAATTATTTTAAAATATCTCAAAATTTAAAATTATCATGATATAATAAAGAATCAATATAAATCTAAATTTAAAAATTAAAAATTAATAAAAATAAAAAATTACATCAATTTAAAATAACAATACATATTGATTAAGTTAATTTATTAAGGCATAAAAAAATGGCAGCCTACAAAATGTTTAATAGACTGATTTTAATAAAAATAAAAAATTACATCAATTTAAAATAACAATACATATTGATTAAGTAGATGAATCCACGTAATTGGCATCTCAAAGCCCACGGGAGGCCCAAAATCCAAATCCCAAACCCTAACCTAAAATCCTTCACTCAGCGCTGCTGTCGACCTTCAAGCTTTCATTCCGCAAACTGCAAACATGGTAAATTTCCCTTCATCTTCATTTTGGCCATTTTCATCTATTCTCTTAACTTTATTTTCTGGCTTTTTTTAATCAGTAATATCGGAATACGCTTTATTAATTTTTTATGTTGTTATATTGGTGTGGTTTTAGGTTCTTCAAAACGATGTCGATCTGTTGAACCCTCCAGCCGAGCTCGAGAAGAAGAAGCACAAGCTCAAGCGTCTCGTTCAGTCACCCAATTCCTTCTTCATGGTAATATGTTCAGCCTTTTCTCTCCTTGTTTCATATCATGATTTGTTCTATATGGCGGATTAACTTGGTTCTCCTTTTTCCTTGCTCTCTCGAAGGATGTCAAATGTCAAGGCTGCTTCAACATGTATGTTTACGATATTATTTTATGAAAATATTTGTTTAAACTCCAATTTTTTTTTTTTGAATAAGTTTTAGGTGGGATTTAGTTATGGAACATTTGATTTTAATCTGTTTTTTTTTGGGTAATTGTAGAACGACCGTATTTAGCCACTCCCAAACTGTTGTGGTGTGTGGAAACTGCCAGACGGTTCTATGCCAGCCAACCGGTGGTAGAGCTAGGCTCACTGAAGGCTGCTCTTTCAGGAAGAAGGGCGACTAAATCTGATCCGGTTGCGACGATTGGAGGAAGAGTTTTGTATGCTCCCAATCTGGTTACCTTTTTGCTGTGTTTAAAATGACTTTATTTTAGCAGCAGCATGAGGAGTTCTAGAAAGACTATATATGTGCTACTGTTCTTGATTTACTGGATGGTTTTTGGTTTTAATGAATGTTGAGTTGCATTTGATTGGTTTTCTGTTTTTATATATAATTTGGCTCTGATTAGAATTTGCCCAAAGTTGTTTCAACTACATGCTTTACATTATAAAGATTTTGGGTTTGAATGTCTAGTTTGATGCTCTGTCGGAGCTTTATCTGTTGTATCTGACTGGATGTATGATTGAGAGATTGTGAGAATTTAGTTTGGCTTGGTATAGTTAAAACAACTGAATAGATCGGGATTTCAGTTTAGTTTTTGATTCAAGGTTTCCTTACGGCCAAATAAATTTTGCAGTTTTAGTGGCTCATGGCCTTGATGCTTCTTTGGTCTTTGTTTGTATTACCGAAATGTTGGTGCAGGAGAAAAAAACTCCAGTTGTGACCGATTTTGATTTTGCAGTTCTTTCTAGCTGCAGTTTGCAAATGCCATAACCAATGCCTGCTTCATTTATTCCTAGCAAATATGCTTTCTAGCTTCAGTTTGCAAATCCCATTGTAGATCTGTTGAGTGTATTTTATATTGATTCCATTTATTGAGATAGGTATGAGTAAGTGGAGGTGGGAGTGCTTTAGTAACCATAAGACGCTTGATTTTGAAGAAAGTGAGCCTCATGCTTGTCTGCCATGGCTGATTTAAGTTTTGCAAGTAGTGGTGTTACCCCATTTGATTTACTGTATAACTCCATGGTTATTTGTTACTAGTTAACTGTTGAAGCAAGCTTTTAGATTTTTGATCTTTAGTTGCATGATTAACCTTGCTTCTGGGTTTAGGAACAAATCTGTGAAAGCGTTTCGACTCAGCTATGGATTGCAATAGTAATCATTCACTCGGATATTTTGCTAACTGATAATTACATCAATTAGGAACTGGACCAAAAGTGAGTTGGATGTAGACATGTGGTTGAGCCTTTTAAGTTAGTGAGTTGGACTTGGTTGTAGATGTGGGGTTGAGCCATTAAGTTAGTGAGTTGGATGTAGATATGGGGAGTTAAGGAAAACGATGACCCAAGTGATCAAAGGATACAGCTAGGGTGTGGTCCTATGGACGACTGGGTTTCCCAGATTTCATCTTTTATTTTTGAAATTGTCTTCCCTCTAAAAACCCTCAACTATAATCCCAATCTTTAAATCTTATCATTCTGATTTAGGACCACTTCTTCATTTGCCCCTTTTATCATGTAGTTACTACTGTTATTTTTTTTAAAATTTTGCATTGATTTAAGATTTTATTGGATGAACAGAATTGATGACATTAAAAGTTGAAAAAGAGGAGATTCTTATGAAAAAATAGTGGATTATCTCGTTTATCAGTTTACGTTCATTGAATGATTCTAAATTAGTGTAAAATTCTTTTTTTTATATTGTTGGAGTGGATGTTATCTCATATAAATATACAATATATATATTTTATTTTTTTCAAAAAAGAATATTAATAATACGTGATTTCCCATATTGTTTAGTTAGCATGGCAATTTTGTATGTTCAAAGGAACAAATAGAGATTCGATTTAGAAAAGGAGGGAGTGGATGAAAATTGGGGAATTGAACATAGAGGTTTCAAAATCAAAGGACCTACCAATCACAATTATCAGAAGACAGAAAACAAAGTAAGCAAATGGAATATATGGAAAGTTGTAGCCCCCTTTGATCCTTCTTATGTCTGCAAAAGTAGTCATTTTCTAGAATTATTTCTCTTCCCAAGTCCCAATTCAAAAAATTGGCAACATCAGACCAATTAATTCCTTGTACTTTTCAAAACTTTGACTCGAAAACTTGATTGTAGTTTTAACTGATTGTTATTTATTGTTATAACATTAATAGGATCATATGTTATGTGTGCTTAAGTACCATATTATATTAATAAAAAAAAAGTAGCATATTGTAGATTTAAGATTAAAGGTTTAAGCAATTACGTTTGTAAGGTGCGTGTGTTGTCTAAACTAAAAGAGATATTATCATGAACATATATTGTCTTGTATTTACTTTAAACTATAAAAAAATTTATTAAAGGTTATAAATAATATACAATATAAATTATATGCTTATTTAAATAAAAAAAATTGTACTTCAAAAGGTTATCGCCATTAATTTCTTATTATTCATTTCCCCATACTTTTGTTCGGTTGTAGCACGTAATAATCAAAGATGATTATATTCAGTATTTGTTTTTATGGCTTGCATTAGCAGGCACTATATCACATGAATTCTCTCAAGCATTACATGAACAAAGTTTAGATAAATTAGTTTGAATTATAAATTTAGGTCATCATTTTTCGGTTAATATTAGGTCTCGGATCGAATAAATTGATTTGAGTGATTGGATTCGGTTCAAATTTATCATGTCTATCCTTAATCTATTTATCCTTTTCAATATTTTTATTGATAAACTTCAATTAAATGGCTTTAATATTTGTTACGAAACACATTAAAACAATTAAACTATTAAAAATTGTAATTTCCTATTAATTAAAATTTTCAATTAATAATCAAACAAACCCTTAAATAAAGAATAATAAAAACTAGAGATTATTTTGTTTAATTTTGGTTTTCTTGCACGTTTATTATTTGAGAAAAAAAGGTTCGTTATACCATTTATGTGGAAGAGAATTTAGATAATAATAATTATATATAATGGAAAATTATATAGGAAAAAGGAGATTTAAATATCTAGCAGCCACGTGAAACTAATCGAGAAGAAAAAACGATCTGTTATAGTCTGGTTTAGCAATTTTTTAGCCACCGTTAAATATAGGTGGTAAACGGGTCATTCAGATGATTTCGGTTCGGGCCATTTCGGTTTATATTTAATTTGAGTCAGGTTCGGGTCAATTCATTTTGATTTCGGTTTTATTTGTGTCCATAGTAAGTCGGGTTGGGTTCGGGTCATTTCGGGTTTTGATTTATTCGGCTCTATAGTAAGTTAGGTCGGGTCGGGTTTCGGTTTATTCGGCTGTATAGTAAGTCAAGTCGGGTCGGGTATCGAGTCGAGTAAATATCGGATCGATTGAGTTCATGTCGAATTAAAGTAGATCGGTTGATTTTCGGGTCGGATCAAAATCTAATCAATTATTTTCGGTTTAGGTTAACTTTGGATCTTTACGTCAACTTTGGATCTTTACGTCAATTCAAGTTGAGTTGGGTATAAGTCAAATCAAGTATATATAAAATTATTGATATATTTTTGTAAAAAATGTGTATTTTTTTTATCATATATGTTCAATTTCATTCATATTCAATTATCATTTACGGATTATAATTTAATTCAAACTCGACTTATATGATATGTTAAAGTTTTTTATATTTTTTATTGATCCAAATTGAAAAGTTTAAGGTACGATCTATTTAATTATAAAAATAGAATTTTTAATTATAAATTTTATTATCTATTTAAAATTTAAATTAGATACTTAAATTTAATTATAAATATAATATTTTTGTTACACTTAAAAGTAATAATAATATATTATTTATGTTTGAATAAATATTATTCTAAATATATTTATAAATGATATTATATTATTATATCATCGATAATATTTTAATTTTAAATTTTAAATGAAAATATATACCTTTATATTATAAAAATAAGTTATTTGTGTAGTATAAAAAAAGTCAATTTTATATTAAATTTAACTAACTATATTTTTTTCATATACACAAGAATTAAAATAATTTGTAAATTAATTTAATAGATTTAGAAAGTTATTTTATATATAGATATCTTTATATTATAAAAATAAGTTATTTGTGTAGTATAAAAATAAGTCAATTTTATATTAAATTTAAATAACTATATTTTTTCATATACACAAGAATTAAAATAATTTGTAAATTAATTTAATAGTTTTAGAAAGTTATTTTAGTAGTTCCAAATTAAAATATTAAATTATAATAAATTGTATAATATATCCCTAAACCATAACTCTTATTTCAAATTAGTCATTAAACTTTTAAATATTCCAATTTCATCCTTAAACTATGAATCTCATTCTAAATTGGTCCCTAAACTTTTAAATATTTCAATTTCATCCCCAAAGTCATCCAAATATGTAATTCATTTCAACCATAGTTTAACCTAATTTTTTTCAAACATATAATATATAACTTGCCTAATGATTTTATTAACAAGATATGTGATTAGTATATACAAATAATTTAGGATAAAATTGAAATATTCAAAAATTTTGGGGACAAATTTAGGATGAAGAACATAGCTTGCAGATGAAAATGAAATGTTCAAAAGTTTAAGGAGTAATCTAAAATAATAGTCATAATTTAAGGATGAAATTGAAATCTTTACAAGTTTAGGGACTAATATGAAGGATCATAGATCAGAGACATATGATGCAATTAACTCATTAATAATTCATAATTTAATTGAAATAAATTGAAAACCAATTTAATAAGTTATTTTAATATTTTTATGCATTTTAACTCAATTATCGAGTTAAAATTAGGTCAATGTTCGGTTTAGATAGGGTTTCGAGCCCCACCAAATAACAAAACTAGTCGTTGCTTGACTTTTTTTTATGTTAATGAATTTTTTTGTAATACCCAAAATTTCGACAAGTGACCAAAAGTTAAATTTTGAAAGTTTCGTGGCCAAAGTAGAAATTTGGGAAAATTTCAAGGAGCAAAGTTGTAATTATCCCAAAAAGAATTTTTATTCAATAGATGAATAGTTTATTTTTTTAAAATGGAGTTTTTATAGAATTCAGATTTTGATCCGGATGTTGTGTGAAAAACTATGAAGTGATAAATTTCGGTAAAATATTCAGATAATCTGATCAAATCGGAAGTTAAGGAAAATTTGAAGCATGATAGTATGGGGTTAGAAATATTATATTCATATTTTTAATCAATAGCATTTGATGTGGATCAGTGGAATTAAGTGAAATTTTCATGTTAAGGTGAATAGTTGAATTAAAGTGACTGAATTGAAATTTTTGGAAAAGTGCAAAGGAAAAGATGGAAATCAATAAATATGATTTTTATATTCATTTGATGATGTAAGAATGGTGATAAAAGAATG